CTGGCCCATGTGGGAATTGAACCTGCAATCCTGTTGCTCAGAGCTCATGCTGTTAACCAACTGAGCCACTCGGCCGGCCCAATGTCTATTTTCTTGACTTTATTTCATTTTGAGATGATTGATGGGGCAAGAATTGAAAATACATAACTACTTAGGTTTTGCATTGTGTAGTTAATCCTTTGCATGTGGTAAGAAAATAGCTTTGCTCTCTTAATTAGCTAGATTTTCTCTGTAGTATAATTTTTGAGAGATCCTCTAAGTAATGAAACTTCATTTTAAAATATTTCATCTTCTGCTTGTTTTTTAGATCATTCATCGAGATATCAAACCTGAGAATATATTAGTCTCCCAGTCAGGAATTACTAAACTCTGTGATTTCGGCTTTGCACGAACACTAACAGGTCCTGGGGACATTTATACAGACTATGTGGCCACACGCTGGTACAGAGCTCCAGAATTAGTATTAAAAGATACCTCTTATGGAAAGTATGTATATTTTGGGATCTAGTCATCTTTTTTCCCCCTGGTGTATCTGTCACCCCTACTACTGATAACCCTCTGCCTTCTGTGTCTGGGTTGGAACTAAAAAAGACACACCTCTAAATAGAACAGAGAGACCCTATAGGCACCTGCCTGCCCTGCTGGCTATGATGTTGCCACTATTGCACTCGGGCTCAGTGGCCCTAGCCCAGGAGACCTATGCAGACATCCCTCAGGCTATATCCATGTGGCTTTAAGTTGCACCCCATCCTTAGCAGAGTTGTCTCCTCTGCTTCCCTTTAGCCTCTATGTTCTGCAAAGATTTTAAAATCATTTATCTCATTCTGCCAGTGTTACCATAGGAACTGCCAAGTTCCTATTTTCTGGAATATGGTACCATCTTTGCAAAGACTGGCATGTAATAATTTTAAATTATACTGTTCTAGATGCCTCACTTGGTAACATGGTCTCAGTTTCTTGTGAAACAATAGAAATGGTATATGAAACTGCAATCTAATATACAAATAATTCATCTTGAAAAGAATGTAAAGGGACCAAGTTGTACAACTTAGTGAAAGAAATGGAGGGGGGATGATTCTCACGTGCCATTCCCAGAAAGCATTATTCTGATTTTTGTAGTAATAGCTAACATTAATGAGCACTTGCTTTATGCCAGAAACTATTCTAAATGCATGCCTTAGATAATTTAATTTTCACAAAAACCTATGATGAAGGTGCTAGTATCATCCTCATTTAAAAAAAGAGGGCATCAAGGCACAGAAAGGTAAACTAATTTGCTTGGAGCCACTCCAGTGTACCTTTTCAGCTGTACTTAGCACTGATACCCTATGCAGACCATCTCTCTGCCTCAGTTACTTTATCTGTGTAATGAAAATAATAATAGGGCCAGCTTCAAAGTTTGGTGTGAGGATTAAATGATTTAATGAATGAAAAAGATTGAAATATAGTAAATGCTCAATAAATGTAGCCTCCATAAGATCTAAGTCCTAGTTTTACCCTCTCTTCATGATGTAGCTAAAATTCCTTTTCTAACTTATTCCTAGTCCTTATCCCTTGCCTCCAAATCATATCCCTTTCTATATCCTCTTGAACATTATCTGTAAATGTAGTGCCTGTTAATGTTTAATATGGCCTAGTTCTACCCAAGCTCTTGTTTTGTTTTGTTTTCAATACTTCTTGCTGAAAGATAAGTTCCTTGAGGAAAGGTATAATATCTTGTACTCCACAGAACCAAAGTTGGTGCCTTGTATGTGGTAAGTTTGGATTCTGTTGTGTTTGAAATAAATTTGCTCATGAATCTTTTTCTAAAACCTTTTTATTGTAAAACAAAATACAGATACAAGAAAAGCCCACACAATGAATGTGTAGTTCCACCACCAGATCAAAAAATAGAATTTTGCTGGCCACCCCAGAAAACCCTCACGTACTCTATTCCAAATACAACACTTTCTCTTCCCCCAAAAGTAATCATGATATTGACTTTTATTGTAAGCAGTGCCTTGCATTTCTTTATTGTTTTATTGCCCAAAAGTACATCTGCTTGGTTTAATCTGGCCTTTTTTCAATGACAGCTTTTTTGAGATATGATTCGCACACCATACAATTCACTCATTTAAAGTGCACAGTGCAGTGGTTTTTTAGTATATTCACAGAGCTGTGCAACCATCACCACGATCACGTTTAGAACATTTTCACCACCCCCAAAAAGAAACCCTGTATCCACTAGCAGTCACTAAAAAGCTAAAAATTGGTCTTAATTTTACTGTTTCTCACTGAAACTTATAAATTGCTATTAAGTTTTTAAAATTTGTGACATAGGCAAGCTAATAAGCTATATCATCCAGTTTTTGTGGAAATATTGTATGTATTACAATTTAAATAATTTATTCTTTAAAATCATTATCTGGCAATAGCAACACGCAACACACACACACACACACACATCCTCCTTCCTTTTAAACAGAAATAGTAGTGTACAAAACATAGTACACAATCTTGCTCTTTCTTTTAATTTTTTAAATTAATAGACTACTTTTTAAGAGCANGTCCAGAAGGCGGCGACTGATCTGCCTCACCCGGGAAGAGCGCAATGATGGTGCCAACTTGGGCCAGTGAAGCAACGTCCTCCACAACTAGACTGAAAAACAAAAGGACAGCAACTTGTCTGCTCCCCTTCCCCCAATTCCCCACCACTGTTCCCATCCCCCCAATTCCCCAATAAAAATCTTAAAAGAAAATTCTAAAAAAAAAAAAAAAGAATGTATGGGCGCTGAGAGAGAAAAAATGGCTTGGTTTCTGGCTTGAGACATGGGGTTAAAGTCCATTCACCAAAGGACTGTTAAGATAAGAACAAATAGGTTTGGGGGAGAAGATGATGCATTTAGTTTTGAATTTGCTGAGTGGGACTTCGCGTAGAATTCCACTTCTTGTGGAAACCAGGAGAGATATCTTGGTTAGAAATTTGGAAATCATCAGTATATGGCTAGTTACTAAATTTGTAAGAGTAGATGTGATTGAGATGGAGCAGTCAATAGGTGAGAAGAAGCCCAAGGGAGTATGGTGTCCCCATAAACAAGTGAAGAAAATGGTCCAAAAAAAAAGTAGATGAGTTTGACCAGGAAGCATAATGTATGAGAAGAGAAAGCCTAAGACCAGAACCCTGCATTTAAGGGACAGAGAAAGAACTGTCACAGAGATAGCAGGAGACTGGGAGAATCTTAGGTCCCAGAAATCAGGAATGGAGGAGTGGTTGGCAACATTTTTACACTAAGATATCAAGTAAGATATGCCTTGAGAGGTGTCTAATGGTTGTAGTGACAATGAAGTTGATGACTTTGGCTAGGGCAGTTTAATGGAATGTGGGAGCAGAAGACAGATTACATTACCTTGAGGAGTGCATGATAGGTTAGAAAGTGACAATGATCGGTTAGAAAGTGACGACTGAGTAAAGGTAAGGTTTAGCTGTGAAGGAAATGAGAGAACCCTCAGTATCTGGAGTGTGACATGGGGTTAAAGGAAAGTTAAACATTTTTTTTCGTTTTCTTCTGATTACTTTTCCTGTTAGGAATATGATTTACCTTTTTAGTATTATGTCTATTTTCTTTTTAAAAATATTTTATTGGGGAGTTGGGGGAGGGGAACAGCATTGGGGAATCGGAGAAGGGGAACAGACAAGTTGTTGTCATTTTGCTCTTCAGTCTAGTTGTGGAGGACGTCACTTCACTGACCCATGTTGGTATTATCATTGCGCTCTTCCTGGGTGAGGCAGTCACTCCCCAGCCATTGGATGGCTGCTCACAGTGGCTCATGGCAGCTCAGGAAAGCTCACGCCAGCTACCGGCCAGCCCCACTGCAGCCTACGCCTTCGCCAGCCCAGCTCCAGGTCAAGCTGTTGTTCACCATCTTAGCTGTAGAGGGCGCAGTATCACTGGCCCTCATATGTGGGATCGAAACAGGGGCCCTGCTGCTCAGAGCTGGCCTTCCAAGCCAACTCCTAACCAACGTGCCACTCAGCCGGCCCTCTTTTTTTTTTTAAATATTTTATTGGGGAAGGGAAACAGCCAAGTTGTTGTCCTTCAATCTTAGTTGTGGAGGGCACAGCTAGCTCAGCTCCAAGTCCAGTTGTCATCCGGCT